GCAGGGAGATGGCGGACAGAGGGCCTCGGGTGGGTGTCCCACCCAAGGGCATCGCCCCACCCCGGCACAGCACAGCTCATGTGCACCCCCAGAAGGAGGGTTAGGGATGCCTTCGTGACTCTGGTCCCTGGGGAAATGCCTGTCCTCGGGCACCTTCTCCGTGCCCACCAGGCCGCAGGCTCTGGGTACGTCCGTGGAGCCCAAGTCCCTGGTGAGTCCCAGGCGCACCAGCTAATAAATCAGGAAACCGGGGTGGGCTGGCTGGATGCCGGGAAGACAGCGGTGGGCACCTTCCGGGCTGTCCTCGGAGCAGACCGCCTCGCTGGGACCTGCCGCCGCTCTGTCCCTGTGTCTCCGGGCCGGGTCTCCCGTGCTGCCCACCCCTCGCCCACTCCCCTTGGGAAGCCAGCCCTCGCGGGGCTTGCTCTCGTCACCTGGGCCCCGGACCGGTCCACCCCCTCAGACAGGCTCTCGGGTGGGCACCCCCTGCTGTCCCAGACCCTCTCCCAGTGCCTGCTCAGGCTGTCCCCCGACAGGGGGAGCAGGGAAGGGGTTCCCCGCCTGGCTCGGCCACCCGGGGAGGGCCCAGGCCTCAGGTCATAGGAAAACCTTCCCCAGAAACCACCGGTCGTGGCCCGTGGCCCGCGGCCCGCCCACGCCCGAGTCCCGGGGCCCGGCAGGTGGGCGAGGCAGGGCTGACTCAGCGTGGAAACTCCTCTGGAGAACTCGGCGCCCAGCGTCAGCGCCGGGGTGGGGGCGGCGGGAGTGACGCAGAGCGATGGGGGATTCCAGCCGCCAGGGGCAGTGGGAGGTGGCGGGGGTCTGGGCAGGCGGCCTCCGGCCCCGGGGAGGGCTTGGGGGTGGTTCTCTCCTGGCGTTCGCGCCCCATGCGCAGCAGAGGCACCCCTGCTCCGCAGTCACCTCATCTCCACCTGCCCCACCCCCCGCCCTCACTCCCCACCTCCGGGCTCTCGCGCCTGCTCAGGCAGCCTCCTTGGAGCCCCCAGGACCCCAGGGTCTGCAGGGCTGGCTGGGCTCTGCCCCGGAAAGGGCCCGTGCTCGGTGTCAGGCTGAGGGGCCGGGGTTCAGGCGTCAGGTGGCAGAGGGGCTTAGGTAGGGAGGCCTGAGCAACTCCGGGTTCAGAGGCAGGAAAGGTGGGCAGGCAATGGGGGCAGTGCCCAGGGCAGGGGGCCTGAGGAGACTCAGGGGTGCTGGCTGTGGGGAAAGGGGGGTGGGGAGGTGGTTCGGAGTTAAGGGGCTGTGGGAGGCTCCCTGCCCTCCCTCAGCCAGCTTCCCAGCGTGAGGCAGGTGTATGCCCCCCCCCACCCCCCCGCAGAGGCTGGTAGCCTGGCCTGGCCACCCAGTCCTAGAGGGACCCCAAGGTGAGACTCTGCCCACCCCAGAACCGCCACCCCCAGGAGCCAGTCTCCAGCTGTTCCGGAAAACCACAGCCCCGCCCCCGGGGTTGGAGTTCAGTCTCAGATAAGGATCCAGCAGCTCTCTGTGTTCCCAGAAGCTCTTCCGGCCTCAGCCAGTCCCCACCCGCCACCTGCCCTTCCCCTTGCTGAGGCTGGAGCCCCAGCTGGACAGAGACCCTCGGTGGGGGCCGGGGGGGGCCACCCCAGAGAGAGCTTGTCCTAGGGCACTGCCGGGGCCGGGGGTCCCTGGCTGCCCCGGCGCTGTGTGTGCCCAGCGGTCAGACGGGCCTACTGTGCCAGGCCCGGCCACTCTGGGTCCCTGACCAGGACCCGGGGCTGTCCCTCCTGCACCCCTGACTCCCAGGTTACCCCTAGCATTAAGGAGCACATCCCTGTGCCTCAGCCCCAGAGCCGGGCTGAGCTCTGAGGTCGGGGCGTGATCCTGGGGGTGCTGCTGGTCCTGTGCCAGTGTCGGGGGCTCCCCCCAACAAAGGGGCTGTGCCCGGGGTGGGGCGGGGAGCCCTGCACCTCCACCTCCACCTCCACCTCCACGGGGCTCATCCTCCCAGGAGGCTGCAGGAGCAGTGACCCGGGCCACGCAGCGGCAGACCTGCGTGTCAGGGACACCTTGCAGGGCTGAGGGGCTGAGGGTGTCCCCCGAGTCCTTGGGGTTCTCTGGCTCTGTCTGGCTGGAAAAGACCCACGACTTCCAGAAGACGCTCAGCAGACCCGGGGCGCCGTCTGCCTGGGGCTGAGGGAGGCCCCACTGGGGGCCAGGGGGAGGCTCTAGGGTTGGTGGGGTCCCCGGGTGCTGCCTGGGTCGGAGCCAAGGGCAGCTGGACCCCCCCCAGGCTTCCTGCAGATGGAGGCACTGCTGGAGTCCCCCGCCCCCCGCCAGCAAGACCCCTGGAGGGGAAAGGGGAAAGGGAAGAGGAGTAAGAGAGCAGGGAGTGTGTGGGGGTCCGGATGTGAGGGGTGGGGGCAAGGAGGGGGGCAGCTTTCCCCATGGAGCACACGCCTGGCCGGGCGCAGGGCCAGGCAGTCCTGTCCTGGGCCCCCAGCGCTGCTGCTCCCCCACTCGGGGGTCCCGGCCGCCTCCACTGAGACTGCTGCCCAGCTGAAGATGCCGGGTGCCGCCGCCGCGCTGCAACAGCGGAACTTTGTGACAGTGGGAACTGACGCTGTCTTTCAGTGCTGACTCTCGTGTGGCTTGGAGATAAGGAGCTGCTTGTACAAGAATTCTAGGAACCACAGAAGACACAGACCCGACCTTAACGCTCCGGGGGAAGCACTGACCTTCAACCGCGGGGCTCCGGTGATGCAAAGCCGGGCTGACTAAACCCGGGTGACGCGCAAGGGCTGTCACCTGCCCCGGCGGAGGGGACCGTGCCCGTCTGCACGCAGAGAACTTCGCACCCCCTCCCTTCGCCTGTCTGCTCCGTTCCCTCTCCCTCCTTACAGACAAGCACCTCTGCGGCACTGAGAGGGAGGCTGGGCTCTGAGGTGTGGGTCTTCTTTTCTGAACGCCAGCACCTGCCCCTCGAGGACTGGTTTTCGAAGTGGTGGCCAGTCGGGCCTGCGTCCGCCTACCCCGTGGCACCCGGTCTCCATCCCCTGCCCGCCCCTCCCGCCCCTCGGGCCCCTCGGGTCCTGACCATGGGTTGTGTGGGGCCTGCGGTGTGACCGTTGCCTCTGGGGGCGAACAGCAGTGGCCCTGGGGGGTGGGACACTGGGACCTTAAGGGCAGCGAACGGCCCAGGCCCTTGGGGGAGCCCCGGGATGGGGGCGCGTCAGGACGGGGCAGGCTGCTCTGCCAACGTGCACTTCCTGTTGTGCCGCGGGTCCCCGAGCATCACTGCAGCCGCTCAGGGTCCGGGGACGGCAGAGGCGTCGGGCGCGGCATCTCCCTGAGGACTCAGGCCACGCCCACGAGCCCCGAGGCCACAGGTCGGCTCCACCTGGGGGGGCCGGAACCTCCTGGGTCAGTCAGTACTGATGTCGCCGTGGGCCACATGGGCAGCCCAGAGGCAGGGGCGCACGGTGGGGTGGGGTGGGGGGGCAGAGAGAGGTCTGTGAGCTGGGACAGGGCCCAGCGGGAGGGGGCCTTGAAGCCGCATGGCCGTGAGGCAGCCTGGGTGCCTGCAGGGAACATGGCCATGGCCCCGAGGGCCCAGGTGCCAGTTTCACGGAGACCTGGGTGCGCTCAGTCCGCCCAGGAGGCCCCCGGTCCCTGATGGAGGCTGCCCTTCACCCCACCCCAGCCTCGGGCTCAGGGCTGGCCGGCTGGGCTGCAGAGTCAGCAGTAGCTGAGCGTGGCCCCTCATGCAGGGTCCACCGGACATGCTGCAGGGGACTCTGGCTCCCGGGCCCTGGCCACTCGGTGCCCTCTTGCCTGGGCGCCCCACACTCCGAGCCAAGGCAGAGAGCAGGACCGTGAGGGCTGCAGCGGGTCTGCAGCTGGGGCCCTGCTCCCTGGCCCAGCAGGGGCCCCACACTGGCTCTGTGACCCTGGGGGACTCCCTTTACCTCTCTGAGCCCCCGTCCCCCCATCCCTTCTCTCCCTGGCTCTGTGGCCGCAGCCCCCAGTGGGCGGGCGGAGATGCAGCAGCGCTCGGCGCCCTCTGGCGCCCTCTGCTGCACCCATGAGAATAATGCAGCGGCAGGCTGGCGGCGGTGGAGGGCTGGCTGCACACCCCTCCTAGCCTAAACGCCAGCATGGGAGCTCGGAAAGGGCTGGCGGCCCGTCCCCGCTGCGGTGGAGGCCACGGGTGTTGGGCGTGGGTTGGAGGTCAGAACCGGGGCGGGTCAGGCACACGTGTGACTTGGCCAACGGCGTGAGCCGAGCACGTGGGGGTGCAGGAGGGGCAGGCGCAAGCTGGGGCGGGCCCAGGGCCGCTGTCTGCACCTTGGGGTGTGGACCGGGGTGGGTGCAGCATGGCTGGGGGCGGGGGTACAGAGATGGAGACCGAGTGGTCTGGAGCTTGGACACATCAGAGGCCCTGAATCACCTCGGACCGTGGGGCAGGGCCCACGTGGAACGTGAGGCCACCCAGGCACCGACGAGGGTGGGCCCCTGTCCCCGTGCACGTCTGTCAGGGCGCTCTCCCACCTTGCGTCCTGCTGGGAGTCAGAGCCCTGGGTGGGGGCAACGAACCCTGGGGTCTGGGGCCCAGAAGGCGCTGCGGCCGGGGTGGAGGTGTGGGAGAGGGTGGGGCCCTGAGGAACAGTCCTGGGTTGAGGGAGCCCTCCCCTTTGGGAACTCAGGGGGACCCCCAGACCCCTTCATCAGAGATCACAGAGCCAAGTGGAAGGGGTCCTGTGGGTTCTGCGGCGGCATGAGGCTCCACGGAGGAGGGCACCTGGCCACTTCCCCGGGCGAAGGCAGCTCCAGGACAAGCCCAGTAGGGGGCTGTGGGGGCTGACCTTCCCTTCCTGCAGGGCTGACCACCCCTCCCCCCACCCCTGTGCGCCTCCCAAGGACAGGTCCCAGCCGCGGGGCAGGGGCGGGTGGGGCTGGGAAATCCCCAAGGGTGCGCCCCCCAGGGCCCTGAGCGACCCGCTTCGGAGGAGGCGCTTGTAACAAAGTAGCCTTTATAGGTCCTGGGAAGGCGCAGGGGAGGGCCGCTAGGAGCCGCGGTGGTCCTCGCTCCTGCGCCCCTCGCGGTCCTCCCCGGCCGATCCCGGGGAGGGCTCCCGCACCGCCTCCCTGCTATCTGCTCTCTGCCGTTCGCTGGCCGGGGCGCCGTCGGGGCCGGGGGAGTGAGGCCGCGGGTGCCCCTGCGCGGAGCGGGGTGGCCTGGGCCTGCGCGCGCCCGGCTGGTCTGCCGCGCGGGTCTGGGGCGCGGCGGACGCGGCCTCACAGGCCATCCGGGGCGGCGGTCGGGGGACGTAGCGGGAGCTCCCCGGGCGCGGCCACACGTCGGTCTCGCCGTTGAGCAAGAGCACGAAGCGGCGCTGCGACAGCAGCGGCAACATCTTCTGGCCGCGCAGGCTCTTCTGGAAGGTCTCCAGCGCCAGGTCTGCGGGCAGAGGGGTGGGGGTGGGGCGAAGGGGCGGGGCGTAATGGGAGGGCGTGAGCGAGGCACGCTGTCCCGGGCAGACGAGAGGGGCAGGAACCCAGCCCCTCCAGCATCGCGTGTGCGGGGCTGGGGTGCAGGTTATGGGGGCAAAGAAGGAGGTGAGGGGTGGGACCCAGGCGGGGCGAGGTGTGGGGAGACAGGTCTGCGGGGTCTGAGCGTGGGGAGAAGGTGGGGTGGCTCATGTGAGCCTGGGCAGGCGGTGGAGGGGGCCTCACCCAGGGTCTCCACGACCACGCGGGGCACCACCTCCTTCAGGACTTCGCAGTTGGTGTGCAGGGCGGGGTTGGAGTTCATCTCCAGCAGCCACACCTGGGCCCAACACCCGTCAGCACCCTTGCCCGCCAACCAGGTCGGCCAGCAGGAGGCGGAGGCCCTGGCGAGCTGGGTGACCCTGGGCAGGTCGCTTCTATTCTAGGGCCTCACTCCCCGTATTTGCCCGAGGGGCTGAGATGCCGAGGGGCTAAGGGTCTGGCCTCGGAGGCCGCCCCAGCTGCAGGAGGGGCGAAGCCTTATGGACCCCCCAGGGCCGGGGGGCCTGTCTGGGTGGTCGGGCTGTGCACAGACACCCTAACCCTCCTTGCACCTGCCTACCAGGCCCCCCCACCCTGGAACGCCTCAAGGTCACCTTGAAGTTGTCATCAATCAAAAAGTCACAGCCGATGAGGTCAAAGTAGCCCAGCTTGCACTCGAGCTTGGACTTGGCGGCCAGGAAGCAGTGGGCCATGACCTGCTGCATCCGCTTCTGTGGGCAGGAAGGGAGCAGGTGGGGACCAGCTGTCACCGGAGGCCCTGGCTGTGCCTCCCTGCACGGCCACAGCCACGCCCTCTGCTGCAGCCTCACCTGGGCCCTCACTGTACTCCCACCTGTGCCCACACCTGCACAGCCACACCTGCCTGCGTTTTCCCACTTTCGGAGCATGAAACAGGTGTATAGGCAGAGACTCAGTCACTCTCGTTTCATTCACTCGGCATGCAGGTGGGGCTCCGGCCGTGTGGCAGGTGCTCGGGCCCAAGACTGACGGGAGCCCTTGGGCAGACCGCACGCAGCAGGAGAGACAGACAACTGTGACCTGGAGGAGGTCCCCCCGGAGGTCCTCACGCACTTTGCGCAGCATCTTAAGCCACAAATGCTGGTGGAGAAGACGGAGTGGGGTGTGGGCATGTGGGCTCTGGGTGACTTTCGTAATGGACGAAGGGGTCTGGTCTGCGTGGCCTCCTTGAGGAGCTAGTAGCGAGCAGGTGGGGCGCGGGGTGTCTGAGTGTGCCTGAGGGGCTGGGGGAGCAGCTCGGGGCTGCTGTGGCTGGGGGGCGGAGCGGGGGGAGCAGGGGAGCAGGCGACCGGGGTGGTGCCTGTCACACCATGGGGGCAGGGAAGGACCTCGCCTCTTGGAGACCAGAGCTGTCAGAGGGTGGAGCCCAGGAGGGGCACAAGGGACCTGTGTCCTCAGAGGGCCTCCCCCTGCTCCGGCTGGTGTGGCTCAGTGGACTGAGTGCTGGCCTGCGAACCAAAAGAACGCTGGTTCAATTCCCAGTCAGGACACATGCCCGGGTTGCAGGCCAGGTCCCCAGTAGGGGGCGCATGAGAGGCAACCACACATTGGTGTTTCTCTCCCTCTCTTCTTCCCCTCCCCTCTGTCTAAAAATAAACTCTTTAAAAAAATAAACAAAGCTATGAGGCAGAAAACAAATAGCAAACTAGCAGGTGCAAATCCCACCTCATCAGTAATTACGTTAAATGTAAATCAGACTTTCCAGATCAAAGGCAGGGACAGGTGAAATGCATAAACCCCGGCTGTTCTGTCTGTGAGGCTGCGATTCAAAGACACAGCGAGGCTGAAAGTCGAAGGTGGGAACGGTTTCTCATGCAAACAGCAGCCAGAAGAGCTATACTAGTATCAGAGAAAATCGATTTTAAGACAAAAATTGAGGGTACGAAGAAAAAAGCACATTTTACAGTGATAATTCGAGATGTAGTAATTATGCACATAGATGCACCTAAGAAGAGAGCCTGGAACTGCAGGGAGACAGAGACGGTTCCGCAGCGACAGCTGAGGCCTGCACGCCCCAGTGTCCGCGGTGTGGAGACGCGCAGACGGGGAGACACGCCGGTGGGACGGTGGGACGCGGGAGCTGCACCGGCCGCCGCGAGGCCTGACGGACATCTGCAGAGCCCCGCCCACTCACGCGCTGCACCGGCGCTCACGGAGCCGCTCCAGGACGGATGCCGGTCCGTCCGGGCACAAAGCAAATGCGGTCCCTTTTCAAAGGGTCGGGGTCATACAAGCGTGTCCCTGGACCCCAGTGGCATGAAATTAAACATCAATAAGAAGGGAGAAAAATCCACAGATATTTTAGTGTGTATCATTTAAGACTACAAACTCCTTTATTAAGATAACCAAAATATCTCTGTCCTTGTCACACGTAAAAATAATAATTATTTAACGTCAACTATAGAATCAGGGATCAAAGGTTTCCAGAAAAAAAAAGAGAAGGAAAACTGGGAAACCCACAAATACGTGGGAATTGACACTCTGGAGCAGAAACAGCAGCCGCACGGGCGCCGTCACGGCCTCGTGCAGGCGGGGCGAGGGCGGGGGCGGGGCGAGGGCGGGGCTCCGAGGCCGTCCGTGGCCAAAAACACCTGCGTTCACCGAGAAGGAAGCGCTCGAACCAGCGTGCTAACCTTCAGCCTCGAGAAACCAGAAAGACAAGACCCGAGAAGACCCAAACCCGAAGCAAGCAGACTAGAGCAGACGTACACGGAACAGAACAGGGAAAACACCAGAGAAAAATCGATGGATCCGACAGCTGGCTCAGGGCAAAGACAAGCTCTCACCCAGACCGGCCAGGACAAGGGGAAAGAAGAGAAACTGCTCAAGTCCAGAAAGGAGGACCTTGCACAGAGATGAAAGTGATTTTAACAAGGATTATAACTGTCCCTAGAATGCTGTGAACAATTGTACTTAAAACAAATTAGGCAACTTAGAAGAAATGGACAAATTCCTAGAAAGACACACTCATTAGCCTGAGTCAACAAGAAATAGGAAGTCTGAGTGTAACTTCTAACAAATAAAGGTCAAATTAGCAGTAGCAATAATAATAATAATAATAATAATAATAATAATAAAAACAAACCTTCCCAATAGAAAAGCCCCAGAACAGGGAGCCTTGCTGGTGAATTCTTCCAAAAATTTAAATAACATGAAATTTCCACGTGCTCTTCACACGAGAAAGAGAAGACACGCCCCAAACCACACGAACACACAGAGAAGGACGCCCCTCGCCGACGCTGCTCACGCGTGTGGACACGGCAGCCCCCGGGAGCCGCAGCCCAGACCAGGAGCACACCCAAGCGCAGCACACACCGGGGCTGACGGGGCGCGTCCCCGCCAGGCGGGGGCGGTTCCTCCCGAGACGATGGAGCAGCGCGACTCCACGCAGGAAGAGGAGGGGGCTAGGGCATCCGGTGTGTGGTGCTCGCTCAGGGACAGGCCCCCCGACCCCCGCCCTGCCCCACGGGAACAGGACCGTGAGAGCAGAGAGAACCCAACAACGTGTGCAGAACAGTCTCTCTGACAAACGGTGCTGGGACTCGGGACGTCCGCACACCAAAGGATGAACTTGGACCCCTACCTCATACCCCACGCAGCGAATAACCAAAATGGCCAATCACTTAAGTAAATGTAAGAGCTGAACTAAAAAAACTTTTGGAAGAAAACGTGTATAAATATTCCTAATGCTGGATTTAGCAGTGGATTCTTACACGTGAAATCAAACAAATAAATAACCAAAGAAGAGATGGAAAAAATTTGTCCTTCATCTAACTCTGAAACTTTTGTGCAAAAAAAAGGACATTATGAAGGAAGTAAAAAAGAACTCATAGAACAGTTTGCAGATCACACGTCTGATAAGGGTCTGGCGCCCAGAGTCCGTGAGGAACTGCAACAGGGAAAAGGCCGGCAGATCGGAACAGAAGGCTTTCTCCCGCAGGCGCACACACAAAGGGCCGGGAAACACAGGCAAGGACACTCATCATCGTCGTCATCCGCAAAACACAGGTCGAACCCACAGGGACGCGCCGCCTCCCACCCACCACTGACCGTCACACCCAGGGGGAGTGCTCGCAGGGTGGGGAGAGGGGGCGCTGCTGCAGGGAATGTGGACAGAACGTGAACTCTCGTCGAGGGTGGACGCACAGAGACGCCTCGGGGTGGCCAGCTCCCCCCACCCAGGCACACGAGGGGGACACACTCTTCCTTCAGGACAGGCGCACCCCCGCCCCCAGGCGGTCCCATACCTCAGGCCCAGCCCGCTCCCGAGGGGACACTGCCCTTGCCCCCCCGCATGCCCTAAGGGGTCTTGACCCTCGGCGCCCCGCCAGGGCGAGAGGCGGGCGTGCCGGGCGCACGGACCGTGAAGGTGGTGAAGACCCAGTCGCTGGGCAGGCCCCTGGGCTCCCTGAACTTGCTGTTGATGTAGCGATTGAGCTGCTCCATGCTCCACACCGTGTCCTCCTTCAGCAGCACGTACAGCGGGCTCTTCTTCTGCATGAACTGCAGGGAGGCCGCGGGGCTCCTGGAGACCTCGCCCGGCGCGCCCAGGGGCCCCGCCCCCGGGACCTCTGGCAGCGAGCCTGCCGCCGAGGCCCTCCCACGGAGACCTGCTCAGCCCCCCAGCCCCCCACTGATCCTCACAGGGAGTGGGGGGGACGCCCCCAGACTCTTCCCGCGAGGACCTTCCACAGAGACCTTTGGCCCCAGGCTCTGTGCACTGAGGCCATCCCAGGGACCCCTCCCCTGGGCCCTTAGCCCCCCCACGCCTCACCCACACCCGGAGGGAACCGGGCTGTGGTGCTGGGTGCAGGGCTCCAGGTCACGTCCCCAGCCCACCCCGCGGAGGCCGCAGGGGCCCGGCGACGCCGACTGCAGGCAGGGGACGGCCCAGGCCACCTGGACCGCCTGCGGGCCTGTGTGCCCGGGCAGTGGTCCTGTCCCAAGGCTGCAGGGAGGGCCCTCACCTGGTTGGTCAGGTGGCTGCTCAGGTCTTGGGACCCGGGGTCGTAAGGGTTGAGGGTGAGGCGTGCGTAGCCGTGGCCGAAGAAGACCATGTACGGCACGGCGCAGGCGACAAGCAGGTAGGCGCGCACGTCAAACTTCCTCCCGTCCAGCAGCAGGGGGTTCTGGATGTACCTGGGCGGGCCCCCGCGGGCTGAGCACACGGCCACCCGGCCTGTGTGTGCCCCCCCGCCCCAAGCCGGGCCAGTTCTTCCGTGCCCCCTCCACCTGTCCCAGGGGCGACCTGCGGGCTCCCTCCCTGGCCGTGTGCGCGTCCGTGGGTCGGGGGACATTTCTGAGCCTGAACGGTTCGGAGGAGGGGTGTCTGGAGGTTGCCTTCAAAGGGCCAGATCTAATTTCAGGACCGTATAAATGTAACTGCTCCTTAACAGTTAAGCGAGAGCTCGGCACCGCTGCCGGATGAAACAAGGTGGAGGGCCGCATTTGGCCTGTGGGCCTCGGGTTCACCACCTGTGGTTCAGAGAATCCCTGGGTCTCAGCCCCCTTGGTGTCCCCAGGCTGCAGCTCTTGCTGGGAGACTAGGCCCCTGGGCAGGGAGGACTGCCTGGAGGAGGAGGCAGGGCTGACATTGTGCCTTAAAGGGGGGGTGGCCCTGGTGAAGCAGGGAGGGGAGATCCCAGGTGGAGGGAGCTGTAGGACTCAAGACACGGGTCTTGGGAGCTGCGGCTTGAGACGGCCGTGGGGGAGAGGAGGGGAGGGTGGCCGACGGCAGCTGAGACAGGACTGTGGTCACACTGACAGGTGGGGAGCTCAAGAGAGACCTTTCTGGGCGAGACTAGGGTCTGGACCCTGCCCAGAGGCAGAGGGCTGGAGGGAGGGACAGCTCTGGCTGCAGGCTTGAAGGCAGTGGCTGCCTGGGTGGGCTTCCTTCCCGACAGAGGAGTAGTGCCCAGGCAGAACAGTGCCTCCCCGCCCCACTGACGCCCCCCGCACACCCATTGACGCCCCTCGTGGTGTACAGCCCAACACCTCTGCACGATGCGCGCCTGAGGCGCCCGGAATGGCATCTTGCGGTGGCTGGGGTCTTCCTCGATGCTCTGGATCTTGGCCTGGAGGGCGGCGACTTCCTCCTGGTTCCTGAGCAGAAAGATGCCTTTGCCCTGGTTGGAGGCAGTGGGCTTGCAGATCCACGTCTGGGTCTCTGTGGAGAGAGTCAGGGGAGTCCAGGGCCGCCCAAGGCTCAGACCCTGCCCACCAGCCCCTCCCACGAGGGGCAGCCTGCTCCTGACCGCGTCCACCCAATCTAGTTCCCACCTACCGTCCCATCCCACCCCGCCCACCTCCATCCAGTCCCTGGCCACGCCCACCCCGAATCTGGCCACGCCCCAGCCTGAAAGCACCCCCCCCAGGCCTGAACCACGCCCCTCTCGGCTGCGAACACAACCAGCTGTGACTCCGCCCACAGTCACGACCCCGCCCACCTGGCTCCCCTCGTCCCCCCAACCCCCGAAATCGCGCCCCCACCTGCTCGTAGCCCGGGTCCGGGCCCTGCCTAACTACGCCCCGGTCTTGGTCCCGCCCGGAACGCATCTCTCCGGAGCGGGCCTGGCGTCCAGCGGCGTCTCACCGTCAAAGAGCGCGAAGAATGCCTCTCTCTCCTCCTTGATGTCCAGACGGTAGGTCTCTGGGAAAAATTCTTCCATTTTCAGGAACCTGGGGGAGCAGGGCGTTGGGGAGACGCAGGGAGGGACCTCTCCCTCCGCCGCAGGCGTGGCTGGACCTGGGGGCAGGCTGGAGGGAGCGTGGCCCCGGGGCGCTGGGTCGGGCTCCAGGCTCCCCTGTGTCCCCTGCACCCGCGCCCCACGTCTGGCTGCTCTCTAGGAAGCCTTGGCACCCTGCTCCCTCGCCAGAGCACCCTTGCGGCACTCCTGGCCCCTCTGCAGGCTGCTCACCTGCACCCAGCCCCTCCCCCTCGTCCCTGCTCCCCGCCCCCACCCTCCTCCGCTGCCGTGCTGCCCGCAGGGCTCAGGCACTGCTGAGGGGTCAGTTCCGACAGTGCCCGGCATGCCGCCCGCGCGGGTTCCTGAGTGCTCCGGGCTGGTCCAGGCCCCTTCCACTGGCCGGGGATGCCCTTCCGGGCCTTGCCATCGACCACCAGGCCATCCTTGAACTTAGGACGGAATGGCCCCTCCCAGCTGAGCTGAGTGCCTCTACCTCTGCGGCCCAAGGCACCCCGGGCTCCTCCATGGGACCTCCTCCAGGTCGCGTGCTGGGCCCTTTCCAGATCTGCTCCCCAGAGGGACACAGGGCCTGGCCTGAGAGTCCCCTCCACCGTGTGTGGGGGACAGACGGGTGTGTGTCTGGAGAGGGGGGAGTGGGGGGGCCTCGAGGTAGGTCGGTGGGTGTGGGTGTGTGGGTGGGTAAGTGGATTTGGGGTGGGAGCAGGTGGGAGAATGACAGATGCCCGGAGGGGGACAGGCGAGAGTTGCTGGCCGACGCAGGGAGGGTGGGGGTGGACAGTTAGATCAGCTGGTGTGACGAGGGTGTCGTGGTGACCCGGTGAGGCGGCTGCCTGCCTGGTGGGGGTGGACAGTGGTCGGGCAGGTGGCCAGGTGTGTAAATGGTTGGGCGAAGAGTGGACAGGCGGACACCAGACGGGTGAGCCCGTGAGCGGCTCAGGCTGCGTGCGTGCTGGGCAGAGGGCGCAGGCGGACAGTAGTGTGGAGGGTCTGCGAGGACAGGCATGGGGGTGGGCAGCAGTGGGTGCGGCGGGCAGTGAACGACTGAGTGAGGGACACCCAGGGGTGGCTCCGAGGTGGGTGTCTGTAAGGGCTCTGGGGGGTGGAATGGGTGGCAGGTGTTTGGGGTGGAGACAGATCGGGGAGTGGGAGGAGGGGTCCGTGGGGAGATGGGTGGGTGGGTGGGTGGGTGTAGGCGGGTGGACGGAACACAGGGTCGCCCGGAGCAGCGACTGGCCGCCGTGTCGGGTGGGACGGCGTGCAGATGAGTGGAGCAGGGACCGGCGGGCTGGGGGGCTGGGGTGGCGGGATGGGTGGGCGCATGGTGGGTCCTTGGCGGTGCCCAGCGCGGGGTGGGGGGGGCCCGGGGCGGGCGTACTTGGCCTGTGCGCTCGGCGACGTCCTGCTGACGACCCTCGAGTGCTCCCTGAGGGTGCTCAGGAGCCCGATCTTGGTGGTGAGCAGTCTGTTGTTGGGGATCTGGTACAGCAGCTGCTCGCCTGCACAGCAAGGGCCCGGGCAGCCTGCGGCTGACCGATGCCGGCCGGGCCACCCAGGCCCCCTGGCTCCCGCGGGGAGGGGCGGGGCCTCTCCCCCTGCTCTGGGTCTGCCCCGAGCCCCGCCCCGCCCCCCCTACCTTCCCGGAAGCTGCCGTAGCTGTCCCGACACTTGACCTCACACCACTTGAGCCTGTAGTCGCCCCGCCGGCTGTCCTGGATGCGCTGCCAGCCCTTGCCCTTGCAGTAGGAGCTGATTCTGGGGGCGCAGAGGGGCGGCCGTGACCCTGGGGCCTCAGGGGCTGGGGGAGGGGTGGGCATGCCAGCAGAGGGCACAAGGGGACCTCAGGTGACCTGGCTGAGGCTGGGCTGGGCCCTGGGGGGCAGTGGACAGGGCCCGGCTGGAAGCCCCCACTCACATTGAGGCCCCGTTGGTGCCCCCGATGTAGAAGAAAGGGCCGCAGCCCGTGCTGGGGGGTGGCTGCTCCCCCCCCAGCAGGTGCCTCTCCAGGAGGGCGGCCCGGGGCTTGCCAGCGACAGTGTCCTCCAGGGGGTCTGTGGGCAGACGGGCCGCCTGAGGCTCTGACCTGGCTGGAGGCTCCCCCCCCGCCCCGCCAGCCCTGCCGGAGCCCACCTGCATCGCGGTCCAGCTGGCTCAGCTGACACAGGAGCCTGTCCCCGTGGCTGCTCTCCATTGGTCTCTCATGGGCCCAGCCTGGGGATGGGGGGGTGCGCGCTCAGATTCCGGCCCAAGGCCGGTCCCAGGTGCGCTCCGGACCCACCGACCCTTTCCCGCCCGTTTCTGGCCACGGCCCCCGGCAGTGCCCCCGGCCCGTCTGGGCACAGCTCGTCCCAGGCGCGGGCCTGATCGGTGGGCCTGAGCCCGCCACGCCTGCTAGAAGAGCAGGGACGGCCGCTGCCGTCCAGGGTCAGCCACGGAGGGGGCAGGGCCCCTCTCCACCTGCAGGGCAGAGCTCGACGCAGGCCAGGGGCAGGGGTGTGAGGCTGGAGCTGGGGGTGGACACGGCGCGGGGACAGGCTCAGGAGGGCGGGGTCACAATGTCCATCATGACGTCACGGGTGACCCATGTCAGGCAGGGGTGACGGGCTCCCCTGCCCTGGGCAGGGGCTGGGTGCAGAGCAGCAGACCTCCCGCCAGGCTGTGGAGAGGAGACGTCTCCCCTCCCCCTGCCGTTCGGACCCAGCCCGCTGGCCCCTCCCCTGGGCCATGGCTCTGTGTGGTCCCCCTCTTAGACCGCCTCCCCCGGAATGGGGCACCGGGCCCCAGGGGGCCGTGCCAGGCCTGCATTCACCTGGTCCCCGGACGTGGCTCCGCCAGACCCCTGCGACCCTTGACCGCTTGCCTCTCCTGGTGCTGACCTGGGCCCGAGGGTGCCGCCCCCGGCGCTGGACGGAGCGGGCGTGGCTGTGGGCCGCAGGGGCGGGGGCACCGAGGCGGGGGCACCTCTGGGAAGACGCTGCCCCCGCCCGTCGGTGGGACCTTCTTGCAGCCTGTGGTCCCAGCCCCCGGATCTGGTACGCGGTCAGGCCCCTCCTGCCGGGGCAGGGGCGCCTCCTGGGGTCTCGGGCTCGGGTTTTCAGGGGTAGCCGGCTCCTGTCTCCATGGTGACCGTGGGGCCCGGCGCCCCTCAGGGGCAAGGAGTGCTGTGCATTCTGTCTGTCCCAGGCGAGTCTTCCCTTGCAGGAGCGGACCCTCTGGCTGCGGCGCTGCCTGTAAGGAGGGGCTGTCCAGCCTTCAGGCGCTGGGAGGGGCGGCCGGGAGGGAGAGGGGAGGCACCCTGTGTCCCAGGGGGCTTGGCACTGAGGAGCTGGCAGCCTCCTCGCCGCCCGCCCCCAGGAGTGGGCCTGGCTTCGAGCGCCGGCCATCACCTCGGAACTTTCAGGGGCCACGGGCCCTCCCCAACTTGGGGGCGGCTTGGGGGGCAAGGACATTCTGAAGGGCTGGACACACAGAAGGGGGACAGGAGCACGCTGGGCTGGCGGGACGGAGGGCCGCAGCCCCTGCACCCAGGGCCCAGCAGGGGCTCTCCGAGAGGCCAGTCCCCCCCCAAGGAATGCTGCCCAGGGCCTCAGCTGCCGCTCAGGGAGTGAGGAGGCCGGGCCCGGCCCCGCCTTGCCCGGGCCCGGGTGGGAGGGCTCCGGCAGCGTCCGCCCTGCTCGGTCCCCGGGGCCGGGCAGCAGGTCCCGGGAGCCCTGCTGAGGACGGAGGGTCGGCCCCAGGGCGCCGACATCTGGTGCCTTCCCGCAGCGCCCAGTGAGCGGCTGCCGTGCCAGCAGGCCCCAGAGGGAGGCCCCAGAGGGAGGCCCCAGGGGTGAGAGATGGACACGCAGACTCACGCACTCGGACACACAGACACACAGCACGCACGCGCACAGAGCAGGAGGACAAGGAGACGTGGCGGGCACCACACCAAAGGGGAGGTCCCTGGAACACCCTGGGGTGGGGGTGGGAGGAGCCCCCGGGGGCTGGGGGTGGGAGGAGCCCCCAGGGGACTGGAAGTGCCCCACAGGCTGGTCACCGCCCGGCAAGGAGGACACGGGGGGGGGGGGGGCCGGAAGCCAGGAAGCCCAAGGCGCGGGGCCCGGAGACGGTGGGGGGCCATGGACTCCGGGAGCAGAGGCTGGGCCCCAGGGCCCTCAGAGAGGCTCCGAGCCTGGGGTCCCCTCCCAGTCGTGTCCCGTCTGCATGCAGCTGAGCTCTGCACTCTGGGAGCGGGTGGGCCCCCGCCGCGCATGCAGGCAGTGGGCTGGCGGGGCTGGCGGGGTGCATGCGGAGCCAGCCGGCAGGGGAAGCCTGAGGTCACGACAGCAGCGTGCGGTGGTGAGGGGCCAGCCACCGCCCCCCCCCCCGCCGGTGGGCAGCCCCCGCCGGGCAGGCGCAGGCGGCGGGGGGGTCGGAGGCAAGGGGCAGAAGCAGCCTCGGGAGGTGGCCTGGGTGGGGAGGGGCTTGTGGCAGAGACCCTGCCTCCTGCCTCTGCGTGGCTTTTCTAGCCAGGTATTTATTATTTTCACAAAAAAGAAGGCCATGAGTCATCATTTCTTTAGCAAAATCAACACACAAAAGCCTGGGCAGGCCCAGGTGCTGTGTCTGCGGGGCTGGGCAGAGCTGGGGGGTGCGGCGGCGGGCTGCCAGTGCCGCCGGGGCCCTGCGCTCAGGCCTTGGAGCTCTAAACCCAGAGACAGAGCTTGCCGCCGGGAGAGGCAGGGGCCTGCTGCGTCCGCAGGCAAGGGCGGCCGGCGCTGGGGCAGGCTAAGCAAAAATCTCTAACAGAAGTGACGACCTTTACCTGGCCAGGCGGAGGGGCCGGCAGGAAGCGGCGCTGCGGCGTGATGGACGGAAGGCCCTCGCGAACCTGCCCAAAACATCCAGCGGAATGAGGCCGCGCCAGAGCCCGGCCCCTCCCAGAAACACGCCCGGCCGCGTGGGGCGAGGGCGGTGCTCACATCGCCTGACTGGCCGGTGCCTCCCGGGCAGGCGCAGGCTGTCCTCGGGGACGTGGGTCCCCAGAGGGGTCAGTAGGGTGGGGGACAGGTCTCGTCCTGGGTGAAGGAGCTTGTCCCGAGGGGCCGACACCCCCGGGGGGCACGCCCACCTTGGCCCGGCCCTGGGGTCCTTGCCCCACTCGCCGTGGCCCAGGGGGCATGGGCCCTTTGCAGGGGGGCACCCTTCCCCTGCCCTCCCCTCCCTGTCTCTCTCTGCTCCTGGGCGGAATCCCAGAGGGCCAACAGGGTCCTTGGTGGCCAGGCGGAGGCACAGGACGGCAGACCCTCACACCCAGCTGGGGCCCCTGCTGCCGGCCCACCTGCTCCTCCTACCTGCCCTACAAGCTGGGGTGGGCCCTTTGCCTGGGACACAGTGGTGACCTGGCAACTGTCTCCCAGCAACTCCAACCCCGGGCCCAGAGCTGAGCAGGGGGCAGGGCGGGGTGCCCCTGGGGGCTGGGCCCTCCGTCCTCTCCAGGGTCATCCCTGTGCCTTTCCAGACCCTCAGGTCCACGCTCAGCCCCCAGACCTGACCCCACAACGCGTTTGGGGTTCACTCGGCTTTAATTGCTGTCACATTCCCCTAACCCCTTGCCCCACCCATGGGGCCCCCACTCTTCAGGGTGGGGGCTCAGCCCCTGAGGGTGGGGGCCACAGCCTTGCATGGGTCATGAGGAGTCTCTGCTTGGAGGGCCTTTGCTTCTTGTGGGGCCGGGTGACAGCCCCCCAGATGAGTCCGCAGTCTCAGCCCCAGAACCCGCGATGTGACCTCACTTGGGAACAGGGTCGGTGCAGTTGTGACGAAGTTGGGGGGCACGAGCTGAGGTCCCCCTGGGTCCTTGGGGGGACCCTAACTCCAGGGACCAGTGTCCTCACAAGGGGCCACAAGCCTGGGGACGCCTGAGCCACCGGGGCTGGGAAGGCAGGAAGGACCCCCTGCCCCCGGCAGCCTCGGAGGGGGCACCCCCAGCTCCATCCCTGACTCTGCCCGGCGGGCCGTGCGCGGGGGCCGCCCTGGAATGCCGGCTGTCCTTAAAGCTGCCCTCCCTCCTTGGGGCTGGACCCCTCAGAGGTGCTCAGGCTCCTGGGCCGGCCTAAGTGCCTTGGTCCCCAGCTCCTCACGGGCTCTGGCGAGGTGGCCCCTGCTCACTAGACACCAGGAACTAGGACTCCGAGACTCGGCCTCAGAACCGGAGACGCTGGCTGGCGTGGTGCCGCCCGGCCCCAGCCCCTGTCACCGCACAGCGGGGGCCTCCCCGCCGTGGGTGTGCGGGGGACAAAGGGAGCGGTCAGCGCCCCTGGGGCCGCAGGAGTGGGTGAGGGGAAGGCCCCGTGCCCCCTTGGGCGGTCAGCGCCTTGACGGGCTGGGCCCAGCCTCCTGGGCCCTCCTCACAGGTGCCCGGCGGCCTCTGGCCTCTGCTCGGCTCCTGTCTGCAGGGCCCCCCCTTGGTCACCTGCCCAGAGAGGCCTTCTGGGGCCGCTCTCACCCCCCTTCTCGCTGCTCTAGAGTGTGGCTGCGCAGACCGTGTCTGGGGAAGACTTGGGGGCAGAGGGGGAGACTGAGGGGAGGGGGAGGGACCTCCCCCAGGAGCCCTGGGGGCCCACCCCCCCAACTCCGTCGGCCAAGCCCTTGGTCTAACCCAGGGTCCGGGGCCCTGTCCTCAGCGCGTCTTTGGGAAGCCAGGGGTCAGGCCCCGGGAACTCGCAGGGAAGGGACGGGGCCATGAGGCTGAGGGTTGGTTTGGGGGTGACCTCAGACGGACCTCTCGATGAGCATCAGTGAGGGGGGCAGAGGGAGCAGGGCGGGAGGCTGAAGACTAGGGGACTTGGGGTGCTGTGTGGCACCGGGAGAGCGTGACCCTAACTTCACAGGGTATGGGGACCTGGGGGGGCCCTGAGCTGAGGGCCGGAGCAGGAAGGAGGTGGCTGCACCCTGCCCGCCCCCGTGCCCTCCAGCACCCTCCAGGTGACACTGCCTGGGTGGGCGGCACAGCCCGGGGTCTCTGGGGTGCTCTTCCCCGCCCCGGGCTGGGGGTCTGTGGGCTGGTGCCTCGTCTGTCGTGTCCTCTTGCGGCCCCCTGCCCGGTGCACGTCGGGGGCGGAGGAGGAGGCTGCCTCCCTGGAGAGAGTCCCAGGCTGGGCTGCTGTGGGGCGGGCTGCGCCCAGAGGTGCATGGAAGCTGGTCCCCGGTGCCCCATGCCCTTCACTACCCCCGCAGTTTATTTTGGCGCCACAGAAAGCCCGCCCCAGGGTGGGCGGTCTCCCCCCTGTCGGGGCGGCAAGGGCTGGGGACGTCCCGGTGCAGACCGCGCCACCGTGGGGGCAGCACGGGGGCAGGGTGCGCCGCCCGGTCGGGCCACCTCGGGCCTCCCCCTCCACGCGGTGTCCGGCGGGAGCCCCTCTTCCGGTGGCGACCGGGCCGTGGACGGACGGCATTACCAGACAGTATTAGACAGAAGGACCCAGGTCTAACCGTGTCTGGTAAGACGCCCATCGCAGGCTGCCTGTCCTGCAGCGTCCAGCTGGTGCCGGGCCCCCCAGGCCCCCTGAGTCTGCAGAGCGCCGCCCCCCCCCCATGGCCGGTGTCCTGGTGTCCGACCCGAGCCCCCAGGACTGGGCCGCCCCGAGGAGGGCCTCGCACAGACCCTGGCCCAGCATGTGGCCCCCAGGCCCAGGACCGCGTGTGCGTGCGCAGCTGGGGCCTCTGCTTCCCCTGCACTTGACCCTGAGTCAGTGCTCAGTTAATGAGTGACAGGAGGCCGGGTCAGACCCTCCTCCCTGGGAGACCAGCTGGGGCCTAGACGGGGAGGGGCTCCTGGGCGGGGGGGCGGGGGGCTCCCCCTGCACCTGTCGGCCAGGCTGGTCTGGGGGCCCGAGCCCCGGCTCCCGGTTGAAAAGATAAAACCAGGGCGTCCTGGCTTCCATTTCAGACCGTGCTCCCGTTTCCGCCTGTGACGCTGGGAGGGCTGGTGGGGGAGGGGACCCTCCTCATCGGGGAACAGCAGCCCGAGGGCCGGGGCAGGGCGCATGGACGCACCGTCCTTCCTGGGACCCTGGCGGGACACAGGAGCTGGCCCCCCTGACGGAGGGAGCCCTGTGAGAGGTCAGTGCCCGCTGCGGCCCCACCCGACGGGGGCCTCTCAGGAGGGCCAGCTCCCAATGGCCTCGGTGGTCGGGGTGCCACAGTGACATGGGACGCTCCCTGCACGGTGGATGGGAGGGGCTGGAAGGGAAGGCGGTTGGCTGGGGGGGCGGTGGGGGCGCTGGCCGCTGGACCAGTGCCGAAAATGCATTTCCCGGTGCGGCTGCGGCCGGCTGGCTGTCCGTTCTGGGGAGTCCTCAGGGCCGCGCAGCAGCAGCAGCAGCAGCGGTGCGCCGGGGCAGAGGGCGAAGGCAGCAGGCCAGGTCCCCAGACAAGGCTGGCGAGCCGGGTGCGGGCCGGGGGCGCTGGTGCCCTCCTCCAGGCCCCGTGTTCCGGCCCCAACGCCCTCTCCCAGGGTCCGTCACTGTGGGGTGGGCCGGCCCGGCCCGGCTCTGCGTGCGAGGAAGGGCAGGACGGCGCGTCCCCGGGCCGCGTCCCGGCAGCGAGCGGCGGGCTGCCTTTGAGCATCGTTACCAGACAGTGTTAGAGCCGAGCGGACAAGTCCAGCACTGTCCGGTAAGATGCCCACAGGGGCCCAGGTGTGCCTCGGCCCGAGGACGCAGGGCGGGGGGGAGGGGGGCCGCCCGGGCAGGAGGGCCGCGGCGGGAGGCCTGTGTGCTCCCCCTTTGTCCAGGGCGAGGGCGCGGGGCCTGGAGGCGGGGCTGCAGGGGGGGCCGGTCTGTTGGGCGCCCGTGTCCCCCACAGTCTGCTCGGCCCACGCCAGCGAGGGGCGGCGCCTGGCCGGGCCCCGTGGGCAGGGCCGGGACCCCTGATGCCCCGATCCCGGGTCCCTGTTTTGGGGGGAGCGCTCAGTGGGGCTGCAGGAAGCCTTTTGTTCTCGGGGCTGAGCAGGGGCTTCAGGCCCAAGCGGGCCTGAAGTGGCCTGCCTGAGGTCAGCTTTCTGTCCCATGCACCCCCCCTCCCACAGCCAACGGGCGGGACAGGGCAGGGCGAGAGAGGGGCGGGGCTCGGGCTGGGGGGGGCGGCCCCGTCGCTGCGTGCAGGGCACCGCCGTCATCATTACCAGGCAGTATTAGAGACCCGACTCCATCCAATGCTGCCCAGTAAGATGGCGGTGGCCGCCCCGGGGTGGGTCTGGGGACCGCCCAGCAGGGGCAGGAGGGGCTCGGCGTGGGGGCGTTCAGCAGCCTGAGGGAGACCCTCGTTCTCCGAGGACGGCGACGTGAGGAGCAGCCGGGAGGGACGGGGCTCTCTCGAGGGCCCCAGGTGCCCCTCAGGGCCCCCCCCCCCCGGTGGGGCTCAGCCTGGGGAAGGCCAGCCTGCTGCATCTGGGAGTCCCCGGGGGACGGGACTGCAGGCTGCCCTCCATGTGGGCCCGCTCCTCCGTCCCAGCAGGGCCACCGGCTCTGGGCGTGGGGTGGGCACCTGAGGAGGGGCCAGGTGTCCTGCTCCTGGGAGGCCAGAGTCCCAGTGCTTGGGGGCAGAGTGGAAGCCACCCTCTGGGTGGGCCAGGGGAGAGGCCTGGATGGCAGGCTCAGCTCCTCGGAGCCCCGGACGACTGTGTGTCTGAGGCTGGAGGGGCTGCAGTGGCCGCACAATGGGCCTCTGCCCTTGGACGCCACCCGGGCTGTCTGCAGCCCAGCCCCTCCCGCCCTTGTCAAGGGTGAGGATGGAGGGTGGCGTGGCTCTAAGGCAGGACAGCCCCTGGGGGCCTGCTCCCCCCACCTACCGGGCTGGGCAGGCCTCTGGGGCCCCAGTGACCCCCACCCCCCCACCCTTGTGCAGCACTGTCTCTCACCAGCGAGGCCACAGGTGGGGCTGTCTGCCGGCCCTGGCTGCTGTTGGCTGTGAAGTCCAAGGGCAAGAAGGTACCGGCCCTGCAGGGGAGTGAGAGGGGGGGCCCTGTTCAGCCTATGCTCACCAGTATGGGGCCGAAGCCCAGAGCAGATGGGACAGAGCCCCCAAACACAGAATGCAGGATTGCAGCCCCCAGTGCCTGCCGGAGACAAGCCAGTCTTTAGTGCTGGCCCCTCAGGACAGGGGGATTCAGAGTGGGGGGTGGTTCCAGAAGTTGGAATATCTGCAGCCCCCACACTCCTCAGTGTCCAGACCGGGGGCCCTGGCACGGGACTGAGACTCTGGCGTCCTGCCCTAGGGACCTGAGGGCTCTGTCCTGCCTCCTGTCCCTCCCTGTCCCCTGTACAGTGGCACCTGGGCCTGGAGAGCCAGCCAGAGCAGCTTCTCAAGTTTTCCGGCATCTTCCACCCACAGAGGCTGCAGGGAGGAGGTGGGGGCCCCTTCCTGATTCCCCCAGGCTGGCGGGCTGACCACAACAAAGGCTGCGTCCACCCCACCCCCGCCTCGGCCAGGTCCACCCGGTTCTCCAGCCCAGTCCTGGGGACGGCCAGCCCTCGGGACACAGGCAGTCTTCGGAGCACCTGACCCCGACCCAGGCCCCGCGTGGGGGGCGGGGGGGGGGGTGCCCGGGCTGCTGCCCTGTGTCCCATCCCCACTGCCGGTCCCCCCCAGCTGGCCAGGGTCTGGCCCCCCGGCCTGGGGAAATCAGTGTGCTGAGGAATGCGGCCGCACCGTTTTCTGGGCTGAGCACTTTAGTTAGACTTCCCTTTCAGAGCCGAGTTAAATTTCAGCTTCGCTCGGGGCTGCCAGGCCTCGGGGGAGGCCGCGGGGGCTGAGAGAGGGGATGCAGGCGGCGCCCAGCGTCCCACCTTGCAGCCAGCCCCCTGAGCACAGCTGCCTCCCCCCGGCCCCCCGGCCCCGTCATGGCCCCGGAGCTGGAGCCTGGTGTCCCCAGAGCCCGTGGCCACCCGGGGCCAGCCTTCCTCGGGGAGCAGCGGGCCCGGAGAGGCCCCACAGGCCCACGGCCGGCCCGGCCACAAGCCAGATGGACAGGCGTCCCTGCCGCCTGCTGCCCGCCAGCCCCCAGCCATTGCGTTCTCACTTGGGAGAGGCGCAGGACAGCCGGACAGACAGACGCAGGGACAGGCCCAGGCGTGGGGCCTCGGGAAGCTTCCTGCCAATGCCCAGGGCAGGCCCCTGGGACCCCACAGGCAAAGACTGAGCCCGGCCCGGCCTGGCCCGGACCCCCGAGCAGCTCCGAGGGCGGTCGAGGGCCTGGACCAGGGAGCCCGGGCGGCCCGGAAGTGGAAAGGAAGGTGCCCTGCGTCCACGTGGCCCCGGGCGGGGGCCCGGGAGGGCAGAGAGTGAGGCCGGCGCCCTGGGGCCGGATGCGGCCTCGTCAATCATCGCCATGACGACCAGGCCCGGCTCGGGCGACCGGAGGAAGGGGCCCTTGCACAGCGAACGCGGCCCCGGGCAGGCGGAGAGGCAGGCCCCAGCGTGGAAAACCCACTCTCCGCCGGCTAACCTGCCCGGCGGGCCTTAATCAATGGTGAGGCCCGCGGAGAACAAAGCGCTGAAACCCAACCCCGCGCGTGTGGGGAGAGGCGGGGGCGTCCTCCGAGGGCCCGTCTCCAGGCGCGGAGTCTCGTCCCTCCGCGAGGCCGCCGCCATTTGCCTCCCCGCCGCTCCCCCGCCCTCCGGCGGCGCCCCGCGCCCCGCGGCGGCGGCACGGCACGGCTCCCCAGGGCCGCTGCCTCCGCAGACCTTTCGCCTTCTCTCGATTCACGCGGAACGTTCCCACAAACTGGTTTTGCAAATGAGGCATTTGCAAATCACCGGAATGCTGGGACGGACAGCAGGCTGCGTCCACACCCTGTGGCTGCTTTGCGTTTTCATCAACACGGAACTCACTTGGGCTAATTCAACATCCTGCCAATCACCTTCACTTCTGAGCATTTCACCTGGGTGACTAGACAAAAGCCAAACAAAGCAAACCCGACCTGTGTTCCCCCTAAAAGTTTGGGGACGACCCGCTCGACACCGTGCCCCGGAGAAAACCCCGCCGCGTGTCCCCCTGGCCTGACGGACTGGCTGACCGCCTCCCAGCCCCCGGACCTGCCCCGGAACGGCTGCCGCTCCCGGACGGGCTGCCGTGCGGCTCCCGTGCACTGTGGTCAGGGACCCGGAGGACAGACTTTGGTCCTGACCCCGAGGAATCCTGTCGGCCGGGGCCGTCCCACCCCTCCTCCAAGCTGGTTCCGGCTTTGTGAGCAAGTGCCTCCAACGCAGACAGGTTAGGAAGAGCCGCGAGCCAGGCCAGACCGGCTCTGCCCTGAGCTCTGGCTGCCCCGGGGTGGCCGCTGGCACAGCCCAGCCCTGCCCACGAGCCCACTCCAGAGCACCGGCCCAGAGCCGGGCGCCCGAGTCCTCCCCAGCCCAGCTCGCAGGGAGCAAGGTGCCCCTGGAGTCAGCACCGCGTTTGGGAAAGAGCTTTCCAGAGGGGCCGTGTTAGGGTGGAAGGCGGAAACCCTCACTACCGTCGAACCCAGCTACCCTCTGTGTGGGGCAGAGCCCACTGCCCACGCCCGCCGGCCCTGCAGGTGCGGCCTACAGACTCCAAGTGGCCGAACCCAAGATGGCTTCGCCCCGACACCCAGCACGCCCAGCCCGAGGGGCCACTCACCTCCTCCTCAGAGGAGGAGGACCACCCTTCCCCGAGTCCTGACCGCAGGCCAAACGGGCCCATCGCCACGGCTGCCACGGCCCGTCCTGGTCAGCCGTGCAGGGGATGGCGGCAGCCACCTGGAGGCTCTCCCCACAGAGCGGCCTCCCCGGGCTCCTCCACCTCCTGCCTACCTGCCCCGACAGGTTCTGCACCTGGAGGAGGAGGGTGGGAGGCCGCTCCCTGCCCCCAGCCTGGCGGCCGGGCTGCTGTGTCCTGTCCAGCACCGTCCCTGCACCCAGGATCCACCAGGCCTCAGAATGGACACTGGAGAAGCTTTGGCACCAGTGACCCCAAATACTTGTCAGCCCAGGACGGAGGTCAGGCTGTGACCCAGCCTGATCCGCCAGCCTCGCCGGAGGGGGGCCGGGAGGGCAGCCACCCCCCGGGGAAGCCCGGCCCCTGCCTCCCTCCGCTGAGCCCGCACACAAAGGAGCAGCGTGCGTCCGCACCCGCACTTGCAGGTGGGCAGCTTGCCTGGTCTCCAGGAAGTCGAGAGAGCAGCGGGGACAATGGAGGCGGTGGCCGGTCCTCCTGCAGCAGCGGAGGGCAGGGCCGGGCCGGGAAGAGACGGCGTGGCCCTGGGCTCGCCTTACATGCAGGGCCTCACCCCGCCCCACACAGGTGCCTGCCCGCCGCCGACCAATCTCTGCTCCTGGCTTCCGACAGGTGTGTCCCCCGGGCTCCCATAGGCCAGCAGGGAGGCAGTGACGTGACGCGGGCCACAGGGCGGGCGGCGGGCCCCACACGCATTCCTGCCCGCCCCCCGCCCGCCCGGGGGCCCAGGTTGAACAAAAACCAGGGCAGAGAGCTCCTGCAGGAGCTGCAGTGGGGCGTGCGGGGCGGGGGCGGGGGCGGGGGGTGGCTCCTGTCCAGCCCTGAGCTCAGCCCCGCTGGAGCAGGCAGAGGGCCGAGAGGGGTCGCACCCCGCACCCCCTCTTTCCTGGGGGGGCCCACAAAGGCCCTCTGCCCCTCCACCTGCAGCTTCCTGGGAACAAAGCGCAGGGCTGTGCCCGCCCCCCGCTCCCGGCCCCGGCCCGCGCCGCGTGGACCCCTGGGAGCCCCCTCCTGCGTGCCGCGCAGGCCCGCGTGCGGGGGAGCGAGGCTGTGTCGGCCCCGGGTCCTGTGGGGGCTGCAGGGGCCGCAGTGCGGGGAGGCCCAGGACCCGTGCGGGGTGGGGGTGGCGAGGTGGCCCTCCCAACTGGGCAGAGGGGCCCGCACTGAGCCAGCGGCCCAGCCATCAGCCCGACCAGCAGGGAGTTCCCCATGGGCCCAGCCGCTTTCCGTGACGAGCTCCGGCGGCCCCGCCGTGGACGCTGGGCGGCCAGGCCAGCCCCCCCCCGAGTGGGCTCACGGTCCCTCCGGCCCCGGGTCCGGGCTTCCCGGGGCCTCGTCCTCTGTCCGGGGACAGACTGGCAGGGGGTGCGTGGCTGCCGCAGGGCGTCTCCAAGGGCCGAACCACATCCGGGGGGCTGCCTCCCAGTGGGCCTTTGTCCCTTCTACACGGGGGCCCCAGAGGGTGGCACAGCCCCCCGAAAGTTGCTGTGGGCTCAGACTGCCGGGGTCACCATCAGGGAGCACGAGCCCTCCCACTGACCCTCGGGGCAGGGCTCTGAGTCCACGGTCCCTGCGTGTCCCCAGCCCGGCCTTGCAACCCAGAGGGCTGTGCGGGGGTGGGGGTGCCGCAGGCATGGGGGCTCTTCCTGGCCTCCGGGGGGCAGAGCACCCAGGAGCTGGTCTGGCCCCCTGGCCCCAAGGCAGAGCTTCCGGAAGGCAGTCCTGGAAACATCAGTGGCCTCTGACCCTCCAAACCACCGACCTCCAGACACTGGGGCTGTGGAGGGCACACACACCTTTGGCAAGACACCCGCCCTCCCCGATACCCACCAGAGTGTCTGTGTTTGGGTGGGGGTGAGGTGGAGACAGCCCTGGTTGGTGGCACTCCTGCCTTGGGGAAACTGAGGCATGGCTTGATAACCCCAAACCTGGAGGCGTTGGCGGTTGGGTGGGAGCGGGAGGAGGGGTTGCCCACCGAAGACCCTTCCCAGGCTTACGCCCTGACCTCTGCCCCGCCTCCACCACTGGGTCACCGAGTGTCCTGGTCAGGACCTCCTGTCTCAGCCGGGTGTGCTGGGTTGGGGCCGAGGGGCATGGCATTGCTGGACGTCAGACGCTCCCGGGAGGACACGGGGCGGCCAGAGGGAGCCTCCGCCATTTCTCGGAGCCCTCGAGGGCTTCTGATCGGGACGTGGTGGGGCCTGAAGCAGGGGCCGTCCCGTGAAAAGCAAGCCCCGC